GTGTTAAGAACTCAAAATGGCCAGGTAATAGTCTTATAGAATTTCATGGAATAATTAATACATCTCTCGACAGTAGCACTCTTCGCTTGGATCACTAAAGTCTCTAATGCAGCAATGAACTTCCCAGGCAAGAGCAAAGACATTCTGAAAGGTTCTTAGGTAACATTGTAAGATAAATTACTGCCACACCTGATTCAAATAAATCTTGCTATGGGAGAGAGTGCTGCATGACTTAACAAATATACTATGTTAAGCAGAATACCATTTTTCCAAGGAATTTTTCTGTAAGTTATTTCACTGTTCAGTTAAGCCAGCTCTTTCCCAGTGGTGGTGCATTCCTCAGGTACTTCTTTTGGTATGAAATGAGTTTCCCTGAGCAGAGGCACTGAGGATAGTTAAGGTATTTTGCTCATAGATACTGGTGCTGTTAGAAAGATTACACAGAGTAAATGTAAAACCATTTCAAGAGTATGTGATTATTCTAATAAGGATGAATCTTTGTTCCATCCCTGATGGAAGTGATCCAGTATAATCAACCTGCCACCAGATGGCCAGCTCATCGCCCCTGGGAATGGTGCCATGTTAGAGACTCAACACGGTTCTCTGCTCTTAGCAGATTAAGCACTTGGCGGCAGAGTTGGCATGGTGAGTGTAGGTGAGGCCACTTTGATCAGAGGACCATTGATTAAGCAGTGATATGTTGGGGCAAAGATGCTGATAGACAACTTCAGAGCACATCACTTATTGTGCATTATGATAGAATGTAAGTGTCTTATAGTCTCTGCTTATTCAGGCATGTCTATCCATATACCTCTTTCAGAGACTTCCTTGTCAACCATTTTCCAATTCTATTCCATCCAAACTCTTGACCTTCTAGATGAACCATTAGCAGCTGGTTAGCCCATTCTGGTTATCTCTCACTGCTTGACAGTCTATCTATCTACACTTTAATTATGTTGTACAGGCTGGCTCAAGTGACCTTCCTGCCTAAACCTCCTGAGTAGCTGGAATTACAGGTATGTACCCCTTAGCCTAGCTTTATCTCTTACTTTTGACATTTTGCACAAAACAAATAATCTCTTTGAATGAGGCCCATTTGGAGACTTTGTTACTGTTCTTCAGACCTCTGAGGAAGCCACCTCAGGTGAAGGAGGATTCTACTTCAGCCTTCTGTTGCTGCAAGAGCCTGTTACTGAAGCATGCTGGGATTGGGAAGAAAACCCTGTCCTATTTCAATGTCGCTCCATCCTCAACTCATAAAATTAACCTTGCGATAGCATCTAGTGACTGATTGAAAGGTTTATATCTATCTTTACAGTGCAGAAATAGAACTATTGGAAACAAGAGGTAGCAAAAATACAGAATAGTTTCTACCAAGCTAGCACAGCTTAGGTCAGAAACACTTCTCTCTATCCATCACTGAGGATACTGAGGCTCTCTTTCAGCTCTTTGGTTAGTTGTTCAAAATAAGAACAAGCACTCTTCTTGATAGAAGAATTCTAGGCTAATAAAAACAAGTTTCCTACTGAACACAGATGGCTCATGCCTGTAATCTGAGCTTCTCAAGAGGGTGAGATCCAAAGCCAACCCAGGTGGTAAAATCTGTGACATTTTTATCTCCAATTAACCACCGAAAAGCTAGAAATCAGTTGTGGAAAGTGATAGTACTCTAGCTTTAAGCACAAAAATTCAGGGACAGGAAGTGGTGCTGTAGCTCAAGTGGCAGAGCGCTCGCCTTGAGCTGAAGAGCTGAGGGACAGCGCTCGGGCCCAGAGTTCAAGCCCCATGACCGACAAAAAAAAAAAAAAATCAGGGACAGCTCCCAGGTCCTGAGTTCAAGTCTCAGGACAGACTTTTTTTTTGAAAAATTTCCCTTTCATTTCATATCTGTGGACATGTAATCCAGCTGAGATACTACAATACTGTTGGTTTATTTTAACCATTGAGCCTTTCGTTATGTCTGTAAAGTTTGTCTTAACTCATTTAATAAAATTGTTCATCTGTAAAATAAGTCCTCCCTACACACACACACACACACATACAGGTACATGTGTGGTGGGTAGGTTTTGTTTTGTGCTCATACTGGGGCTTGATCTCAGAGCCTAGGCTCTGTCCCATAGCTTTTTTTGCTCAATGCTGGCACTTTCACTTAGCCACACTTTCACTTCTGGCTTTCTGGTGGTTAAGTTTCAGGTACTTTCAAGCCCTGACTGGCTTCAAACCTCAGTCCTCAGATCTTAGCCTCCTGAGCAGCTAGAACTATAGGCTAGAGCCACCAGTGTCTGACCAGTATGACTTGAAATAAAGCCCCTTTCCTTGTTTTTCCTGCCTGATGGAAACTTAGCCTGGTTGCTCTGCTGGTCACCTAAGATCTTTGTTCTTTGATTTTTGTTTTGGACTGTCTAGGGAAGATGGGAGGGAACAGGCTGGGTTATGAAGCCAGATTATAACATCAGGCTCCATCCACAAAACTGACTAAATGTGGCCTATGAAGTTATCTTTCTGGCAAGGCACATCACAGAAGATATTTGTGACAAATCCTGAGGAAGGAGACATCATTGACTCCACTGTTCTCCTGGATCTCTGCATTCATTCTAGTGTATTAGTTTCATATAAAGTAGGAAGGTTATTTCAGTTGGCCAAGTAGATATTATCTGATCCTTTAATATACAGGAAAATTAATCCACTAGCAGAAAGACTTCTCCTAACAATATTTGCAACCCCCTACTGCCACCCCATTACCTGTCTTTTTCTTTTTTTGGGGGGTCCGGTCATGGGGCCTGAACTCTGGGCCTGGGCGCTGTCCCTTAGCTCTTCAGCTCAAGGCTAGCGCTCTACCACTTGAGTCACAGCACCACTTCCGGCTTTTTTCTTTTTGTTTATGTGGTGTTGAGGAATCGAACCCAGGGCCTCATGCATACAAGGCAAGCACTCTACCACTGAGTCACCTTCCCAGCCCTACCTGTCTTTTTCAGAAAGGTCATGCTGAACTACATGACTCCTAACCCTTACAGCCAAGAAGTAATCAACATATTACAATAGCCTGTTTTAAAAAATAAATTGTTCTATTAACACACACAACATAAACCTTTGTACATTGTATATAATCTATAAAATTTTACATATATGTGTGTTTGAGTATGTGTTCTGTAACTCTAGAGAACTACCACAGTTCTCTCAAACTGATAAAAACAAAACTTTTGTTTAGTCACCAACCTGTCACTAATCCTCCCTACCTGCCTTCTTTCCTTTTTTCCAGTTCTGGGGATTGAATACAGGGCCTCACATAAACTAAGAAAGCTCTCAACCACTTGAGGTCAGCCCTTTTGTTTGCATTCCAGTTCAGAGATAGTGCTGATAGCTTGCCCAGTCTAACCTCTCAATGGTGATCTTCAAGATTACCTGGAATTACAGATATGTGCTGCCATGCTTAACATGCCAAAATGTTTCCACAAAGTGATATCTTCAAAGGCCAATGCTCTATCAGATTATTTCAAAATGCTCCCATTTCTACATATATTTCATTGCTAACTAGTACAATCTGCAGACTGGCTTTGGTCTGTGTATTGGATCTTTCTTGGGGGAGGGTAGGGGAAGCAAGTCCTGGGGCTTGGACTCAAGGTTGGGCACTATCTTTGAGCTTCTTTTGTTCCAAGGCTAGCAATCTACCACTTGAGCCACAGCCACTTCTGGCTTTTTCGGAGTAGTTTATTAGAGATAAGAGTCCCAAGGACTTTCTTTCCCCAGGGCTGGCTTCAAACCAAGATCCTCAAATCCCAGCCTCCGGAGCAGCTAGGATTACAGGTGTGAGCCACAGCTTCCCGGTTTGTACAGTGTATTTTTTAATAGCTAACCAATCTCAGAAATGAAGTTTGACACTTTTCCAGCCCAGGAAGAATGAATCCTCATCCTCCTTACCACCTTGAGTAAGCTAAGTCTACTTTTCAGGTTAAACAATTGCAGTTCTCCACTTCCAGGGACCAATTTTTGTATTAACCGAGTATTGCTTCAGAACATATACTTCATATTCTGACTATGTTCTAACCTACATAACCATATTCTAAACAATGCATTCTTGAGTAACAAGGCTCATTATAAAGAGCAGTGACTTTTTAATCTCATTGCCTCTCATTGTGAATTTGATTAGAGAAACTGTGTGATAGCATATATGCATTCAATAAATCTATTATTAATGAGGCATGGTGTTTGCACAGAAACCATATCCAATTCCGGAATGAGGAAAATTGTTCACTGACTCATGACCAAAGTCCAGAGTTACTGACATGCTAGATTCTAGGTAACTTGCCAGCCTGGAAGAAGAGGGTGTCTTAGTCACCTGTTGTAAATTTGACTTTTCACCAGTGGCAGTAGCGCCAGGTACAGGAACTTCCTCCGGCCAATTTCCTTGGTTTGTCAGATCTTGTTAATTTTCCACTTTCTCTAGCATTGGAAGAAAACTTAAACCCATTTAGTCTGAAAAAAAAAATGCATGCTCCCCCAGCCTTTAGTTTTATTCCAAATTTTATCTTGTAATTCTTTTCTGTGTTCCTGATGTCCTATTCAGCCTCGTTCAGCAACACAGCAAGCTCCGAACATACCATCTTCTCAGACCCACAACTCGGAAAGGTGACCGCACAGGTATTACTTTATAACCCTGATTCCTGTTCTGAGTTATATGTGGTATAGGGTACACTTACTTGATATTCCTCACAAATAAATTAGTATGGAAATTGAAACAAATGCCACGTTCCACAGAGGTTCCAAAGACATTTATTTTTCTCTTAACATTCAGCGAGAAGCGATAGCTCAAGAAGCATTCTTGGAGAACTGGTAAACATCAGATATTCAAGTGGATACACACTCCCAGATCCTCAGAATTAATTCGTCCATGTCTTCTCTTTCTAAAGGACAGCGGCATTTTCCGTTTTCATCATCCCGCACACCAATCAGAAGCCAGACCCCCACCCCCACCCCCCGAAGCTGCCTCGTGCGTGGCTTTTTAATAATTAAATCGGAGTTCCCTCAACCTGGGCCGCCCGGTTTTGACTGCAGCCGAACTCGAGAGCTCCAGCCTGGGGTTCCCGGACACCCCACGCGGGCGTGGCGTCCCCCACCGCGGGGGGCCGTTATGAGAGTCCCGTCCCGTGGGCAGCCCCGCAGACCACCCCGAGGTCGCACTCGAGCACCAGCTCGGCGGTTCAAACTGGCGAGTGTGCACCCCAGGACCCCCCGATCACCCGAGCCGCGGACAGCACCAGCCCTTCGCTGCCCGGCCTCCACGTGAGCGTCCTCCCACCCCGCCGGCCACAGCGGCCGCGCCCCACTCCCGGCGCTTCCCCCCGACCCCTGGGGCCCAGCGCCCCCCGCCCTATCCCCAGGCCCATCCATCCTCCTCGGGCTGGATCCGGAGCCTCAGACTCGCTGGTGCCCGGGCCCGCGGAGAACGAACCCGGCCCGCCAACCCCAGCGGCGTCCGCCCTACCCGAGGGACCCGCGCCGGACGCGCGCGGCCCCGGCCCGGCCCGGCCCGGCCCGCTGCCTCCACCGCCGCGACTGCAGGTTCCTAGCGAGCCCCTTACCGCGACGTCGTAAAGGATCGCGCGGCCGTGCGCGGAAGCCGAGCAGGGCTGGTCCTCGGGAGCAGGCCAGCGGTGTGGCGTGGGGGTTACGTTACCACGGGCTGGGGGGGCCGGGGTTCTGACTAAGAAGGTCTGGTTTGTGGTGTACCGTAGGCCAGAGGCCCAGTTCAGAAATCAGCAAAAACCACCCCGGGGAGACCCAGTCCCCCACGCCCTTCCCGAGCGGCTCTCCATGCCCGCGCCCCTTTGTCACGCCGCCAGCCGCAGCGGGAGGACTGAGGCGCGGGCGGGGCTCGGCCCCCGGACCGGAAGGAGGAAGCGGGCGGGAAGCGAGGGGCGGGAGGCGAGGGCGGGGGCGGGGCGAGAGTGACGGGAGCAGTGAGAGCCGGAAGTGATTGGCTAGCGCGGAGCCCCGGAGAGGCCTGTCCGGCGGCGCTCTAGCCCCGCGCGCGCCGTCTCGATGCTCCTCCGCGTCTCGTCTATTTATTGTCGCGGGGAAGCGGCGGCGGCTCTGTACCCGGAACAACAAAGCCCGAAAGACGGGAGCCCGAGCCTCGGGGGGAGGGGAGGGGGCTCCTAGCAACGGGCCGGGGCGGGAGTTCCATGGAGACTGGGGAGCGCGCCCGCCTCATCTTCATCCTCGTCCTCCAGCTTCTCCTTCGCATCCGACGCCACCGGCAGCAGCGCTGCCGCCGCGTCCTCTGCGGCCGCCCCATCTTCCCACGGTAACCCCGTCGGCGACGCCGGGCGGGGGAGGCGGGCCTCGGCGGGCCGCGGGGCGTCCGGGCGCGCGGCGGGCGGGCGGGCGGGGGCGGGGCTGGGCGGGGGCGGGGGGCTGCGGGGGGTGTGCGGGGCGGGCGGGGACGGGGAGCACGGGCGGGCGGCCCGGCCGAGCCTGTACTTCCGAGGGGGACCCGGGGTGATAGCGGGGCACCGCGCGGATAACGGGGTGGGGGTGGGGCGCACTGCCGGGAGCGGTGCCCAGTAGGGTGCCGGCTAAGCCGCGCTGGGCTGCACCGGGAAGGGAGATCCCCCCCCCGCACCCCCACCAGCTCGGGGCGTGCGGTGATGCCGGGGTCCCACGGTCCCCGGCCCCTAAAGACTGACTCCCGAATAGCGGCTTGATCGGTCGGGCTCCCGCTTCTGGCAGTGCCGGTGGAAACGGTCTATTAAAATAATCACCGGCTCCCGCCCGTAATCCCAGCTCCTCCGGAAGGCTGAGATCTGAGGATCGCGGTGCGAAGCCAGCCCGGGCCGCACAGTCCGTGAGACTCTGACCTCCAGTTAACCACCCAAATGCCAGAAGTGGAGCTGTGGCCCAAGGGGCAGAGCACCGGCCCTGAGTGCCAAAGGCTCAGGGACAGTCAGTGCTCAGGCCCCGAATCCAAGCTCTACGACCGGCTCGCACACACATAGCCACACATCATTATCATTACTGACCAGAATTAGGCTTTGACAAGGAACGGATCTGGAATTGAGGAAGAGAAAATGAATTATGGATAAGGGTGAGCAAGGATGCGAGTAGTGATAATCGCTTAATGACAGCCAGTAACAGTCCCCCGAAAGGATAATAATGAATGATGGTTTGTGAGTATGTATTAAGAAGCTCTCCTTCTGCCAAGATGTGCATCTGCTGGCTTTGTCAGTGTGTGCTTTGCAATAAGACTCAAACTGCAGCAATGTACATCTGGAAGCTCTCTGCATCTGTCACCTGCAGTTCCAAAGCGACACTGGCAGTAACTGGTATGAGCTTGTATACTTAGGGTTAAAAACAGTGCCTTCAAATTGTGTCTGCAGAAAAGAGATTAAGCTTGTTGTGGAGTGTTTGTGTGTGTGTGTTGTGTGTGTATGTATGTAGAAGCAATGACAGATTCCCTGGTGAAATTAAAAAGAAACACAAGGAGAGTAGTCAGTCTTGAGGACCATAAGTTGTAGTCTCTTTCAAAATTTAGGAAAATGGCATTTTATTCAAATCAAGAAGTGACAGCATTGTCTGGTTGAAAGAATTACTCAGAGTTTGGCCTGTTCAGTTTGCCACAGTTTATGTTCTTTAGCCTCCACGACAAACGACTTGATGGATTTTGAGTTCCTAAAACCATTTTAGGTCAGTAAGCGAGTTTTTTCTGTGGCACACTGGAAAGGTCACATACCCATTCAATAGTAATAACATTTTTGTGGTCATTGGGAACAAAGCTCTTAATATAAAGTTGAAGATTAATTAATATTGAAAATTAACTTGATAATCAGGCAATTATGTCAACTACAGATTCCATTTGTACTTTTATTAAGCCTGCATTTCTTAGGCAAAACTGTGTCATGTTTGGTCCTGGTCCCCTCTTTCTTAGTCAATGCTCAAACTCAGTAGGAGGAACTGTAATGATTTAGGAGAATATGCACTCCTGAAAGAGGACTAGTCAGTTTTTTAGTCATGTATTTTCATTTGAAGCTTTTAATCTGGAATTCAGGTCCCTTGTCTGTAATTGAAGTAATTTCAGATCTGTGCAAAGAGTTTGACAATTTAACCGAGATTGGAAGTGTAAATATTAGGAGACTTCAATTTTAAAACTGACCAAAAAAAAAAAAGCCCAGTATTATGATCTTTGGGATGATGAATGGAAAGCTTTTCTTAATCCTTTCCTGTGGCTGTGTGTGAAGGATATTCTGGGAGGACCTCACCTAAGGCTATGGATACTGAGTCCTGGGAGTCATCTTAAGAGTGTAGATGAGATTTAATGAAGTTCCTCTACCTCAGGGCTGTGATCAGGCTCACTTTGGTGGCATGTTATTTGCTGAGGCCTTTGTGCCTCTAAGGTCAAGTCCTAGCTTCTTTTATTAACAATCCAATTTCTGTTTTCTTTGGTCTCTGCCCAGCACCTAGCATTTGATAATGTCTTAGTTCCTTGCCTTACTCAGTCATCTTCCAATCAAAAGAAAATCATTTTGTTACTGGTATTTTTTTTCTGTTTCTTGAGGACATTTTAGTATATGTTCTAACTGTTGTAAGTACATGAAATAAGAGCTTCATGTTGGAACTCAAAATATAGTGTTGAAAAAAAAATGTGAAAATCATTGGCCTTTTCAGAAGTCTAGGTGGTGATACTGAAGTTGTAGGCATAGTCCCTTTTTTAAAAGTAAAAGGTTCTTCAGGAGCCTGCTGTATGTCTTAAATTGTACCTTAGATTTTCATAATACTCTGTAAACATATGTCTTTCTGATTATCTTGTGTGTATTTTGCAAAAATTACATTTGCCAAATTTGCTAGCCACTACCATTGTGATTTCTACATGATTTTCTTCATGCGGACATTGTTACATCGAAACTGTTCAGTGGATCCAAATACATAGTATGTGTAGAAATTTCTATAAACAAACATGAAAAATACTGCAGAATTTGTTTTTTTCATAGGTGTGGCTGATATTTAAAAGTTAGCAAAGATTATAATGTGGTAGAGAAGGTGTGAGCATTATTTTTAGATGAAGGAGGGTAAGTGGTTTCCTTCGGTTGCATCATAGACCATGTGATGAAATTATTGCTATGAAAAATAAAATTGTAATTGGTCTTAGAATAACTGATAGTGGAACGTTTCCACAGTGTCTCCAAATCAAAATTTGTAGGACCTGAAACTTTGTAGTTATATTGTGACATCTGAACTGAGAAAGATTTTCTGAAATGTTTACCATGTGATAGTGCCTTTATATGCCTGCTGCCACTCGTGTGCAAAGCTGGATAAAAGGCATGCCCTTCGTGCAGTGTACATGGCAGAGAAACAACAGATACGGGAACAGAACATGCCAGGCACAAATTTGAATTCTAGGTGGCTTTTTACATACCACTAGGAATATAGGTGCCATCCTGCCTGGTAGATGGGAAGTTTCCTGAGGGTTAGAACCATCACGTCATCATCGTGCTGTATGTTCATATTCTGTATGTGTGTCTTTGGAAGAGTAATGCATTTCTGATGGAGCTGTGTGTTTATTTGTATTCCACTTCAGTGACTGACCCAGTAGATGAGGAACCACTCCCACCCCTCTCAATGCTAGAGCTCAAACCCAGAGGCTAATCTTTTGAAAGTGAGTTATTGTTGCCTAAAATTTTTTGCCCTCGCTGCAAAGATGCAAGAATTTCACAGATTTATTTTAACCAGATGAAACAGCAAAAGACAATGATTAAATGCTACCCCTTGAGTGAATATTGGCTTCGCTCTTATTACATGACTACCATTTTCAGAGATTTCAAAAGGGTGAGTCTACAGATCTGGTTCTTTGAAGGCTGCATAGACCAACTTGGTTTTTAGGATACAATCATTTATGTAGAAGAGAGATGGAATATGTGTAGTTGTGAAAAGGGTCACATTGGAAATTCTGCTCATTAGTCTTATGAGTAAATAGAAATAGAAGCTTTGAAATTTGGCTTAAATGACTGATTTTGTGCTAGGAAGCATGTTAAATGCTAGTGTTTAATAGCACATTAATACATACTGACCATCACAGTGAAGTGATTTCTGGGGAAATTCTGGTGTTCATTCAGATGGGAATCAATAATGAAACTTTAACAGATCATTAAAAAATGCAGCACAAAAGTTTGGCTGTTACTTTCACTGTGTCACAGTATTCATTCTATATTTGAGCTGGATCTAGTAGTGCATGCCTATAATCCCAGCTATTTGGGAGGTTGAAACAAGAGTTGCTGGTTGGGAAATCA